GCCACCCTTTCAGTGTTCAATTCTTAAGGTTTTTTTTTATCTATCACAGTCTTTTCTGCTTATTCACCTTCTGTAACAGGGTTTTTTTGATGGCTATGTACCACCTGAGTCTTGCTGATCTAATTTGATTTTTAACAGTTAAGAACATCACTAGCTGCTGTTGAGAAGAAGTTCAGCTGTCAACTCTAGAGCCGTTTTCCTTCAATTTCTTTTTCTCTCAATAATCAGGTGTTTATCTTCAGAAACATTTGTCACTTTTGGTGCTCCAGCTCTTTTTCTCTCAATATTTGTGACAGTTTCTAACTGCCTTTGTAATAAATATTGCAGCACATGTCTAGAATTCTTCAACATATCCCTAAAAACTCCTCAAGTTTATAAACAAATTGTACAGATGGATGTTGGGATTTCTTCCTAACCAATAAAAATAGACAATTTCTCGGATTTATCTGTCATATTTCTGTTTTTTCTTGTATTGATGTCAGAACACTACACTCACTTGACTGTATCCATTTGAACACCATTCTTACTTTTTGAAGTTTTTGCCTTATTAATGTTGCTTTGCCTAGTTTTGACTAATATATATATATATATATATATATATATATATATTGAACAATAAAAAATATTAAAAAATAAAAATCTTCAGATACACTGGGTTGTAGATTAATATTTTTCATTTTTATTATTATTCTTTCATTTAGATTCCTCGTCTAGTTTCGGCCAACACAGTCATCATCGGGAGAAGAAATATCTCTGCTTGCTGGTAGCAGTGAACTACAGAAATCACATATATATATATATATATATATATATATATACATACATACATACATACATACATATATATATATATATATATATATATATATATATATATATATACATATATATATATATATATATATATATATATATATATATATATATATATATATATATATGGTTGATTAATATTTTGCCATTTTCTTTTACTCTCTTTTCTTATTGTTTATTGAGAACTTAGTAAATTCTGTTTCTTGCACATTTTGCCAATTATACTTAACCATGGCCAATTACTCCAAAGTTAGCATTTTAATAGATTCAATTGTAAAAAGGGGAATAACTCTTGTAAGCATTTCCATCAATCAGACTTTTTACCAGATTTTAGCTATATAGGGAGAATAAGAAGTAACTCACACAAAGAAACTTTTTGTAACTTTTTCTGTTCCAAATTTTATGCTCGGCAGAAAGAAAAAATTCTAAATGTCCATTTTTCAGTGAGTTGTGTATTCATTAGATAAGAATAATGATGATGATGATGATGATGATGATGATGATGATGATGATGATTGATTTCTTTAGTGAGCCACTTGCCACTTAGAAACTTTCAGTCCCTTCTGCTGAATATTAAATGGAAATGCCTGAATCTTTCATTTAGATTAATTTACTCTTATGTCCAAACAACAATTCCACAGATGAGCACGTACAGAAGAGAGAGAAAAAAAATGACAAAATTTCTGCATCTCTGTCACTAATTGCTGCGACAAGAAAGGCTCTTTTGTTGTCTTCTCCCTAGCCAAACAACATTCCAAAGTGTCTGACCACAAGTAGTAAGTATCACCAGACATTCTTGAGCAGGTCTTGAAGACCTCTGTCAGGAATCAAGAAAAAGAATGAGATAGAAAATAATGAAAGGAATGATGACTCATCATCAAAGAAAAGAAAAAAAAAAACTGTATTGATGAAGAGAAAATAAAGAGAAGTTAGAGGAGAAGAAATAAACCAAAAAGAATAAGTTTCATTTCAGGAGAAAAGAGGAGGTGAAGGAAGAGAAGAAGAATTATTTAGTTGTAAGAAATCCAAAAGATATTGTCATGGGGCAAAATATTTTAAACCTCAGGAAGCCATTGAAGCAGAAAGGCAATTCAAAATAAATAAGAAGCAAAGAGGATTCAATGTGTTTGTTCATAATGATAAGCTTTGGTGAAAAAAGCTTGAAAACTTCCAACACAACTGTGCATGTCATTCCTTTGTTACTATAATAGTGCAAAATCATTTTACTAATATATATATATATATATATATATATATATATATATATATATATATAAAAATAAAAAGAAAGAACAGTCAGATTTATAATCCACTGTTCTTTAGCATTTATTTTTAAAACCAGTGCTTAATACAAAGTAGTGCAAAATATTATAATATTATTATTTAAAAATATCTATTCATCCTGACATGATTCAACATTGCTTGAGAATGGAACAAAAACTTTAATTTTAAGTTCAATTTAAAGTTTAGCTTTTAGTTCCAAAACATGGCAGATTTTGTGTCACGATGCATACACATTTTTAAATAATAATAATTGTAGTTTAAAAACAGTAAAATCAACCTTGCTAACCGAATGTTCCTCTGTGGTCGAAACGGTTAAAGTCACGTCAGGCTATATGATGGTTCTGTATATAGGATACAGGTTTGTTTCCTGTTGGACACATATTTTCTATGAAAATTTCTTGGACATTCAGTCTGGTAAATGTTGTTAATACTGTTTATTATCAACAGAGCATTTACTTAAATATTTGTATCTATAAAAAAGAATGTATAAACAGAAAAATGTCTTAAAATAATTGTTGGACTTTGTCTTTTTCATAATATATATATATATATATATATATATATATACACAGTGGGTAGCAAAAGTATTTAACACATTGGTTTTTCTTACATATCTCAAAATATAACAGATCAATTTCAACGAAACTTATAGGAAATATTTAAACGAACATTGTCGATCAAAACATAGAAGGGAAATTTAAAACCACTGTCTTGAGAAACATTTATTAACAATAAATAAAATAACCCATATGCAAAAGTATTTAACACCAATGCAAATATTATGCTAGAAGAGATGTGTTATCATGATTCCTACCCATATTGATATGATGTGATATGTCGACCAATGACAGCACTGCACGACACTCAACTGGCGATGAGATAACAGCTCTGAGACACTGCAGCTATTCTGTTGCCACTACTGCAAGAAAATGGTGAAAACAAAAGAATTGTTGAGCGAAATGTGCAAGAAGATCATAAAGAATCACAAAGATGGTAAGCGATATAGAAAAATCGCTCAAGATTTGAATTTGCTTGTGAGTACATTTGGTGCTGTTGTTCAAAAATGGAAAAAATGTGATACTATTGAAAACATTCAAAGGAGTGGTTGTCCCCATATCTTAGATGAGGCTAATGAGTGATACATTTCCCGTACTGTGAAGAAAAATCCATTTTCAACTCGTCGAGAAATTCAGAATGATTTGAAAAATGCTGGAATTGAAGTTAGTAAAGATACAATTAAAAGATCACTGAATCGTGCAGGTCTCACTTCAAGATCACCAAGAAAGACTTCATTACTGAAACGCCGACATGTACAAGTCTGTTTGAATTTTGTAAAGAAATATGAAATTGAATCTAATAATTTCTGGGAGAAAGTAATTTGGTCAGACGAAATGAAAATTGACCTTTACGGACGAAACATGCGCACTCATGTATGGAGGAAAAAAGGAACGGAATACGAGCCAGCAAATACCATTCCTACAGTTAAACATGGGGGTGGAAATATTATGATGTGGGGTTGTTTTTCCTCAAATGGAGTAGGAAAAATGAAAATCATCGAAGGAACAATGAATGCTGCAAAATACACTCAAATTTTGTCAACTCAACTCTTGAACAGTGCCACATCTTTGGGACATGGTCGTGATTTTGTATTTCAGCAAGACAATGACCCGAAGCATACTGCTAAAACAACTAAGAATTGGTTTAATAATAATGACATTAATGTCTTGGAATGGCCAAGCCAGTCACTGGATTTAAATCCAATTGAAAATTTGTGTAAACTATTGTAGTTACGAGTTCATAAAAGAAATCCATCGAACAAATTGAAGAAAATTTGTGAAGAAGAATGGGTCAAATACCAACAAGTGCCTGCAAGAAACTAGTTGAAGGCTACGAGAAACGACTGGAGGCTGTGAAGCAGAACAGAGGCTACTGTACTAAATATTAGTAAAGTGTTAAATACTTTTGCATATGGGTTATTTTATTTATTGTTAATAAATGTTTCTCAAGACAGTGGTTTTAAATTTCCCTTCTATGTTTTGATCGACAATGTTCGTTTAAATATTTCCTATAAGTTTCATTGAAATTAATCTGTTATTTTTTGAGATATGTAAGAAAAACCAAGGTGTCAAATACTTTTGCTACCCACTGTATATATATATATATATATATATATATATATATATATATATATATATATATATAAGGGGGGGGGTTATTATTCAAGGAAATTTTATAATGTTATCAAAGAGAGCAGTTTCAAACATAATTGTTCTTCTATTTTTTTAATACCATGTCATTTCATAATGTAGGGGATTATGGCTCACCACAGTCTCCTTTTATTATGAATAAAGATGATTTCTTGCAAAATTTTTGTAGAACAGTTTTTCATTCCTTCACCACATTTTGAAATTTAGAGTTCTCTTCCTAGACTGGCTACTACCAATGGCTAAAGAACCCACTCTACCCTGCTATTTAACCCATAGCTAGAGAGAGATGAATTCATGATTTTCCCAATGATATTTGAGCAAATAGGAGCATTATAAAAATTTGAATTTGGCTTATCACTTCCCTTTCTGTGCTGATTAAACTATACAAACATTCTTCCTTTAAAATTAAGGAATAAAAAAGAGTTATTTGATGTATTTCACACTTTCATCACTTTATGCTTTTATCACTGACACGTTAAGTATTTTTCAACAGTATTTTCCTATTCCTATAGAAAAATACTGTTGACTTACAACAGTGTGTAGAGAACAAAATGAAGACAAGGTGCCAATTTCCAAAAAAGGGATATTAATTAATATAATTTGGTGTTTAATAGTAGCAAAGATATAAATTTATGTCCATTACTATTAAATGTTATTAAGATTTATACAGATAATGTTAATTGCTATAATGTGATAATGCTTCATCTTCTTTCATGTACTATGTCTATGCAGGATGTGAACGATCATGATTCTCCACATCTTCCTATTTTGTGTAGCTCTTAGCATACTTTTTTTCTGTTCTACCCTGTTCTGCTAGTCATTTACACAGGTACATTATATGAGTTACTCACTACTTTCTGCTCTTCTTGCCTTCAATACACCCTTGGGTTTCAAATTATCCAAGCCTTCTTTCCATTATGCATTCCAAAAAAGTCAACTTTTTCTGATTCTAAATATGTGTCCTTCTTTTTTCCATAAGACAGCCATACTGCTGACATGATCTTCCCATGGTATTATTAGCATTCTTCTGTAGAACCATATTTCTGTTTCCTCAAGTTTCCTCTTCATCTGTGAAAAGATTGTCTAGCACTAACTGCCATATAGGATGACTGATATTACATAACACTTCCATACTCTTGTCTTTGTTTCTAATATTTTTTCTATTTCTTAATAATTTGCTTAGCTTTTGGAAGGTATTGTACATAGAAGCCAAACACTCTTTATTTGCTTCTAAGGAAATATTTCTGTTTCTTAACATCTTGCTTCAGATTTCTGTGTCACATTTCCGTTGTCTGTGAAAACACTCCCCTAAATAATTAAATTTCTGTACTTGCTTGATTTTGACATCTCCAATTCATAGCTTGTATTGTGAGCTGTTCTTGCTGACAACCATACATTCTGTTTTCTTAAAACTGAATTTTAGTCCAGCAGTTTTTTCCTGTCTGTCATATATTGTAAAGATTTTAAAACTTAATTTTCTAAATCAACATTAATTAGAATTATTTCTTTTATTTAAAAAAAGAATACTGTTCTTCATTACAACCATTCTTCTACACACAATACATAGATTCATTCTGTTTTCTTAAAATACTAAATTTTAGTCCAATCCTCCTTTCCTTTGTTTTTCCACTTTCTTCATATTCTTGTAATAGATTTTTAAACTTAATTTTCTAAATCATCATTAATTAAATTATTTTAATCCTCCTTTCCTTTGTGTAAAAAAAAAACATAGATTCTTTATTTCCACTTTTCTTTCTTTCTTTACACACAATACATAGATTCTTTATTTCCACTATTTCTTCTTTCATCTGCATCCAATACATAAATTCTTACTTTTAATCCTCCTTTCCTTTGTGTAAAAAAAAAACATAGATTCTTTATTTCCACTTTTCTTTCTTTTCTTTTAGATTCTTTATTTCTTTTCTTTCTTTTCATCTGCATCCAATACATAAATTCTTACTTTTAATCCTCCTTTCCTTTGTGTAAAAAAAAAACATAGATTCTTTATTTCCACTTTTCTTTCTTTCTTTACACACAATACATAGATTCTTTCTTTTCTTCCTTCTTTCACTGTTGTATCCACAATACATTGACTTTTTCTTTCCTACCTTCTTTCTTTCTTTAGACATAATACATAGATTCTTTCTTTTCTAAGGTCTTTCTTTCTTGTACACACAGTACATACATTCTTTCCTTCCTTCCTTCCTTCCTTCCTTCCTTCCTTCCTTCCTTCCTTCCTTTCTTTCTTTCTTGTACAAACAATACATAGATTCTTTTTTCTTCTTTCTTTCTTCTACACACAATACATAGATTCTTTCTTTCTTTCCGTTCTTCTTTCTTTCTTGTATGCACAATACATAGATTCTTTCTTTCCTTCCTTCTTTTTTTCTTTCTTGTATACACAATACATAGACTCTTTCTTTCCTTCCTTCCTTCCTTTCTTCTACACACAATACATAGATTTTTTCTTTTCTTCTTTCTTTCTTTCTTTCTTTCTTTCTTGTACACACAATACATAGATTCTTTCTTTCTTTCTTTCTTTCTTTCTTTCCTTCCTTCCTTCTTTCTTTCTTGTGTGCACAATACATAGATTCTTTCTTTCCTTCCTTCCTTCTTTCTTTCTTGTGTGCACAATACATAGATTCTTTCTTTCCTTCCTTCTTTCTTTTTTTCTTTCTTGTATACACAATACATAGACTCTTTCTTTCCTTCCTTCATTCCTTTCTTCTACACACAATACATAGATTCTTTCTTTTCTTCTTTCTTTCTTTCTTTCTTTCTTGTACACACAATACATAGATTCTTTTCTTTCTTTCTTTCTTTCTTTCCTTCCTTCCTTCTTTCTTTCTTGTGTGCACAATACATAGATTCTTTCTTTCCTTCCTTCTTTCTTTCTTGTGTGCACAATACATAGATTCTTTCTTTCCTTCCTTCTTTCTTTTTTTCTTTCTTGTATACACAATACATAGACTCTTTCTTTCCTTCCTTCATTCCTTTCTTCTACACACAATACATAGATTCTTTCTTTTCTTCTTTCCTTCTTTCTTTCTTTCTTGTACACACAATACATAGATTCTTTTCTTTCTTTCTTTCCTTCCTTCCTTCCTTCCTTCTACACACAATACATAGATTCTTTCTTTCCTGTCATATACTTCTATATCTATAAGTATATTAATTTTAATTTTCTAAATCAACATTAATTAGAATTATTTTCTGTTAAATAACAGAAAATAATAATAGTCATTATTATCTTTATTGCATAAGCAAATTTAAAGCTCTAAGTGGTAAGATTAAAAAGAAAAATCCCAAACAAAGAACACATTAGTAATAAATAATCTTTGAAATGTAAACACAAGTCATATGACCATTTACTAACTTGATAATTCAATGTAGCATTCTGATTGGTTGAAATTGTTTTTTCTTTCAAAATCCTGTCACAAAATAATAAAATTGTATAAAAAGTTAATAGCATGATTAAATATACAATCAGAAAAATTGTCTTATTCATGCTGTTTCATAAACAAGGTTTTCAATCTTGTAAAATATGTTTTAGATCAGATAAAAACATGAAACATTTATCAATATGAAACAAATTTATATTTGCTCAAAATTATGAAGATTAAATGATACATAAAAATGCAAATTCTAAAAAACGTGTTTTAGGCTGAATAGAATAATAAAATTAGCATTAAAATTAATTAAATTTTGCTTCAAAATTACAATGGTTGATTGATAAATATGGTCACTAATCCAATATGACGAATTTTAGACGAGATAGAATATCGAAACAGATCACAAAATTTAATTTTTTTTTTTCAATTATTTTTAAACATATTCCTCATTTAGAGCTGAAGATTTTTTCAAAAATTCTATCTACCTTTTCACTGTGTACTTTTGATTCAACTGCAAACAGCAACATCAAATCTAGCATCAGATGAAAACTGTTGACCTTCTTGTGACTCTTTGAATTTTGGCAACAACCAGAATTCTAATCATTCTAGATGACAGCTGGGTGGACGGTATGAAATAACTGTGAATTGAGACTATTCACCAATATCACTAATTTTTGACAGCAATGTGGTTCTTGATTGATATGATGGAAATGACAAAAAAGAAAATTTTTCTTTCAGGCGTTATTCTACAGATAGGCTTGACCCCCAAGGATTTTATGATAACTTATTGAATTAATCTTCATACCCTCCTGTAGAAATTTTCTGTGAATGACTCCCTGATGATCTCTGATTTGTATGTAACACACAGTACTAATGACTAACGAACATCATCACTCTTTGCTATCATGCATACAAACTGATACACTTGTGTTACTTTTATGAAGCTTAGAAAAGACAGAGCCACTTTTAGAAACAGGAATCTTATTTTGTTTGGAATTAGCTTATGCAGTGAAGTAAAAAGTGGATAATGAAGAATATATCTATATAGCTAAAATTAAATGACCTTTGATTATTAGATTTCATTCTCTAATTGATAAGTGGCTGTTCTTAGACAGACTGGCTCCCCAGGATAGCAAATTCGAGTTCAAATCTTGGAAGCTTATCTTTCTTTTACATGCAAATCATAGGGTTTTTTTTCTTTCTTGCATACACAATACATAGATTCTTTCTTTACTACCTTCTTTCTCTCTTGTACACATGATACATAGGTAGATAGATAGATAGATTCTTTCTTTCCTTCCATCTTTCAGTCTTGCATGCAAATTCATTGATTCTTTCTTTCTCTCTTTTACACATGATAGATAGATAGATAGATAGATAGATAGATTATTTTTTCCTTCCATCTTTCAAACTTGCATGTACAATTCATTGATTCTTTCTTTCCTTCTTTCTCTCTTGTACACATGATAGATAGATAGATAGATAGATAGATAGATTCTTTCTTTCCTTCTTTCTTTGTTTCTTGTATGCACAATTCATTGATTCTTTCTTTCCTTCTTTCTTTGTTTCTTGTATGCACAATACATTGATTCTTTCTTTCCTCCCTTCTTTCTCTCTTGCACACACAATAAATAGATTGACAGATAGATTCTTTCCTTCTGTCTTTCTTTTATGTATGCACAATACATAGTTTCTTTCTTTCCCGCCATTTTCCACTCTTGTACACACAATACATAGAACTTTTCTTTCTCATATCTGTGCATAGGTTCTAAAAGGAATCTACTTCATAATATGTACTTTTTATCACATTCAGACAAGTAATTGTTATGAGAATTGTGTATTTTCAAGTCCTGACTGATGAAAGCCAACCATTATTTTGTCAAGTCATCAAAAACTCTTGATTTGCTCTGTTGATATCTGTCTGTCAGTGCAGATATGAGCCTAATCATTTACAATAAAGAATAAATTAAGGTGGCCAGAAAGACGTCAAAAGAAGAAAAATAAAATTTTATCTTCTAAAAATGCATATATTTAAAAAATATATAAAAATATGTTACATGTCTTCTCACTGACCGTGTTCTCTTCACAATGTTTTTTTTTTATAAATGACTTACAGAATTCCCTTTGGTAAAAATTCTCAGTGAATGACTTACTTTTTTATTGTTTTTGGATTGATTTGTTTTTTATGTCTTATCATCTCTTTTTGGCTTGTTTAAAGCTAAGACATATTTTGGATTGGAAGAATAGTAATTTCCTTTTTTTTGTAAGTGAATATTGCATTAACAATTTTTATGAATAACAATAACTTTTTCCAAATATAATTCCTACTTTTTAACTCATAGCAGGGGTAGAAGTTGGATTCATACAATTCCCAATGGTATTTGCATGTAGATGAATGTAACGAACCTGACTGGAATTCAAAATTGGCTATCCAGTTTCAAATCCTGAGCCACTACCCATTACATCACCCACAAATTCCCTCTTTTACATGTAAGTCATAGTGCTCATGACTAATAAACATTATCACTCTGTTGTCGTCATGCATACAAACTGACCAATGGCAGTGTTACTTTTATGAAGCTTTAGCAAGGAGTGTCGATTTTTGAAACAGGAATCTTATTTTTATATGGCAACAGAAAGATCACTTACTCAGAACCAGGAAAAAAAACAGCTGAAAATTCCTTGGACACATAATAAGGAATAACCTGGAAAACATAAGCCTCATAGCGAATATTAAGGGCTTGCAAGATAGGAAAAGGCTGCAAGCCACTTACTGGATTAGCTTATGTGAACAGATGACAGAATGGTAGGTGGGGTGCTTAGCAAAGCGGAGAAATCTGCTAAGGGCTTGGAAGGATAGGAATTTATTGAGAGCCTTGATCATCCACATCCTTAAGGACTGTGGCAATTGATAAATGCATATATAGAGAGAGAACAAGGAAAAATATCGGCAGAAAGGATTGCAGACAGATTATATAAAGATCCAGTAATTATTCCTTCTACTTACATAGAGTAGGTTGCTTGGACTTAATATACATTCTAAAGATTTTCAGTTATGTCATTTTTTAACCATCTCAGTCCAAGCAAGGCAATAAAGCCACTAAGATGCAAGTGTGAGAGAATATGAGACAAAGAAAACATTATTAAAGAGAGAGAACAATAAAAGAACAGGAATTAGGAAAACAGAAGTTAACAATTGACGCTGCATTTAAATTTTTAAAGATCAAAATTGACAAGAAGCAAGAAGTTTCACATCTAGTCACTTTAATTGTAACCTGATGAAACCTAGCTGCCAATCTAGTACTGCACTTAAATTTATAAAGTCCTGGTACCAAAGAGGAAAACACATCAGAACGATTACCATGAAAGTATTCATAGAGTAAGCAGAAGGAAGCTACATTATGGCAGTGGGAAAGTAACTGAGTCCGATAACATTACAGATTCTTTTTTGTATTTTATCAAGAATCTCTAAATATATAGCAGAAGTAGCTGCTAGATATAACAGCAATATTCAGTGCATGGATGAATGGTAGAATTATTAAAACATTTAAAAAATGGAGTAAAAATTTTGAAATAACTTATCTGGATCATTGTGATAAAAAAAACAATTTAATGATTATTAATGAAAATATTTCATCTGATAATTCCAGTGACTTAAAACTAATGCATTTACTAAAAAGTACTTGATTTCATATAAAATGTGCTTGGGGAAGCCATGAAGTCATCCTTTCTACTCCCAGTTATGTCTTAAACAACAAGGTAGCCTCGTCTCTCTAGCAGGAAAGCTCTGAATTCCAAACTATAGGCCAAGTAAGAGAAAACCACTCCACTATCTTTCCCAAGAAGTCATGACAGATTTTCAGAGAATAAAAAAGAAGTGTGTGGAGAGTCATGATCACCTACATTATAACAGGACATAGCATGTTTAAAAAAATTATAGAATTCCAAAAAACAAATAGAGAAAGATGATACTTTATTTTACGATCATCCTGTTTTTGTTTCAAAGCAAAAATGAAGGAAAAAAAACAGTTGGACATAATTGATATAATTACATCTTAGCTGCAAAATATGGTGACTGACTCTTAGGGATATGCAAAATAAATCTGATTTGCAAATGGCTGGCATCCATTTAACAATATTAGCCAAGTGTGCTGGTGGCTTTTTGATTACTTGCTCAGTTGATCTGAAATATTAGCTGGGGTCAGAAAGCCACAGTTCACACCATATCATTTGATCCATGACATTGATATTACAACTTGACACCATGGTCACAAATGGAAGTGTGAGCTCAAATGGCCACTGATTGAATATGCTTGTTAATATAATATATCATTCAGGTTATTTGGCAGGCTCACATTTGTTGAGGAAGCATTAACAGGGAAAGAAAAAAATGTTTTCACTTATAAATCTGATGGTTATTTAGAAATCTATTTCATTTTTCTGTTTTGTTTTTTAAAATTTTCCATACTTTGTGCCACATTTGATCACAAAAAATGGATTAGTATGACTTGTAATTATTTCTTCACTTTCAGGCAAGTGATAAAAAAAAGGATTTTTATTTTTTAAAGAGATATTATTATTTAGCCTATTTAAATTGTTTGGAAAGTTGTCCCTATCTTTATTGTGATATTCACAACATTTTGGCTATTGTACACACTGGTCTTCTTTATGTTATATACAATGGAATTTCAAACCAAGTCCTTTATTTCATCCACAGGGATAGATTCTTCTAGTTCCACATGCCATGCCTGTTTTGGATATCTCAGTTTCAGTT